CTTATTATCCTTGAAACTTTTCTGATAGTTTCAGGCATGTTCTTTTCCTATTAGAGAGCAAATTATGATAGAGGCTGTGTTCTGCTTCTGGTATTACACTATCTGCTAGGAGTCTATCCAAAATACATTTGTTTAAATACTATCTGGTCAATAGTTTTTGCTGTTATGTGCTAGACACATTTTAGTGGGGGGAGGATGCCGGGGGCGGGGGCGGAGTGAGAGGATGAAAGGTGGTAAAGAAACCACCTCTAACCATCCAAGCTATAATTAGTTCTGATTTGACCTATGATCAGAAATGCAACAGGACAGTAAAAAGACTTCCTGCAGGACAATGTACTTTTTTATTGTGTTCTTTTAAAAATAAAATAATCTGTCTGTTCTATTTGTAAACTATATTATATTATACGTAGAGTCCCAACTTGTTTGTGCCACTCAAAAAAAAAAACCAAAGGAAAAAAAAAAGTGGAAAAAAAGAATGTCCAAAGCAATAACTCTCAATCTTCTTAAAAATGCAATTGAATGCACAACACTCTATCACTGAGTGTTACACAACCTTTCCCTATCATCTTCTTAAAACTGTTGCTTGGCACACATTTTTTTAAGGAAACCAGTATAAACATCAAGTTTTATCTGTCATAAAATGACAAGTTTCCTTGATTCATACATATAAACCAGAAAGTAGATCAAAATTCATTTAGCACACAGGTGATGAAAAATTGATTAAGACCAGGCAGGGGAGGCACTGTGAGATCAGATAAGAGTTAAAACCTGATTTTCACATCTAGATTCCAATTTCACTTCATTGCATAGTAGTTATACCTTTATTTTATCCCGGAGGGTGCCTCCGACAGTGTTCAGATACTCAACAGGACATTGGTTTTTCAAAAATGTTTTTCCCAAGTTACTTTTTCAGAAAACATTTGTTCCATCCATGATGGGCACCCGCATGTAATGTTCCGAAAAATATACGCTGCTTCCTGAAGATACCTGGAGGCAACCTAGGATGTTGCAACACCAAAACTGCAAAGCCCTAATGAATAGGAAGGAGAAAACAGCCAACGTTGTCTATATGCTAGTGAAAGATATTTTACTTATACCTATACTGAGAAATAAGGCCAATACTAACTCCTAAGTTAATGTCCTCTAAAAATCTAGATATATTATTTGTCTCTTGTCATAAATGTTAAAGAACTCACTTTAAAAACAGAACAGAGAAAATGAGTTTGAAGGCCAGAAGTAAATTTAAAATCTTATGTAACACTGAAGTACACACTTAAAATTGGTTAAAATGATAAATTGTTATGTACTTTACCACAATTTTTCTCTTGAAAAAATATATAAATCTATTAGACTGCATAAAGAGTGAGAAACCATTGAATGTTTAAATTATAAATAGTTGAAAATTTTTAGTGCTTTGAATAGAAGCTTTCTGACCTCTTAAGGATGGTGTTTAGTAGATATTCTTCATCTTTAAGGTGGACATAAGCAAATGAAAGAAAGCTTAAATTACAAGAGACTTAATTTTGACATAATTCTAGCCAGAAAAATCATTAAAAACTCTAATAAAGTATCATGCAAATCTCTACCCTCAGAGACCTAAGAGTAAGCTATCTTGTAAGGGTTAAATTCAATTCTGCAGGAAAAACAAGAATAAACTAGAGAGTCTCTTAAACCAGTTTCCAGTTTTAGAATTCCAGGTTCTATATTCACAGCCCAATAGTGTCTCTGCAAGACATTCCATCTATAGAAAGTTATACTAATCTACAAATCACTTCAGTTTGTTTTCAGATATTGGGTTTTTTCACCATACCATTTATGTACTCACTTCGGAAGTGAAAAATGACTACTTTTGTTTGAGGCACATCCACCAATCTCCAGCAGCACGCTGTCAGCTCAAGTGTAAACACTATAAAAATGCTTAACCTGAAACAAAACTTGGTTCTAAATTAAACAGAAATACCTATATAATGCACACCCAACCTAAGACTAAGAAAAAAATATCTGTGTTTACAGGGTAGAAGATTTACAAAGCTAAAACATTCAATTTAATCAGTTTTTCAACGGCTTCTCAGAAAGTTGTTTGTTACCAACAACAAAAAAATTCTTTTGAAATCAAAAAGTCTTTCCAATTCATTTTACAAGACTCATGGCTTTCATTTTAATTTTAATTTATAATTTTAATTTATCCCATTATTTTTTAACAGTCATCAGACAACTGAATGGTGGTTATATATTACAACCCAAAGTAGGCACTTATGAAGTCACAGGAAAGGTAATCATCTTATATTCAACAGGTTAACCATAGCAATTTGAGAAATATTTTGCCAACCTATATTAGGCTATCTCAACAGGTTCCAAAGTTAGACATTAAATGACACTTAAAAACAATACATTTCTAGACTCAAGAGATTTATTTAAACAATACACAAATATTTTGACCAAGTATGCATGCAGACAATATTTGTTTTAACTAGATTTTATTAATTATGATGGGTATTTGCTTAAAACAAAAGTCTAACAAGACAAATTTAGCCAAGTTGACATAGAAATCAAAATACAATATTGAACTACGGAGCTCACTGCTTTCATTAGAAAAGAATAAAGAGCCTTACTCCTTTCCATTTACAAATGATTTTTCATTTTATAACCAAAGAAAACAACCATGACAAAAAATAAGGTAATGCAGCTTAAAGCTGAGTGATCACTTAATTGCCTGAAATCCTAAGAAGCTATTGACTGATGCTTTAAAACCAGAATAGTTTTTAATAGTTCACTCCTTTGTTCAGAAATGTATCACATCTTGTTTTATACAGATGACATCTAATCAGAATACATACTCCGTCCGTATCTTTCAGCTTAATAATTTTTTATATAAAAATTCAAATAAAATTTTTTTAATGCAACAATAATTTAAGTTTTTTTTTCTTGTCCACACTGGGCCTCATCTTTCACAACACATAAAAATAAACAATCTTAGATGTTAAAACACATGCACCTCAAGCATATAAAGTTCATTACACTGGTTCTGTAGCCATAATTGTACTAATAAATACTGACTCTAAAGAACTTAAAACTCACGGGACAGGGTTTAAATGGTACGACTCACAAGGGGGTGGAGAGAAATAATGATCCTCCCTTACCAAACTGGCAGCAACAGTATGCCAAGTTTCCTATGCTGAACTAGTTAGTATAAACAAGGAAGAACAAGAGTTGGGGGTGGGAAAGAAGGCAGGCAAGAGAACAACTCTCCCTAAGATACAGCTTTATTTCTAAATTTCACCAATGTAATACCTCTTTTCAGTGTTTTCAATAACCTCTGTCACTATTTAGTTAATGTCCACATGTTGTAGTCCCTGCCTGAGATCAAAAGATACAAGAGGGAATCACAAATGCTTCTTTAATTCTAAGACTATCTCCTGCATTCAATGCCTCAAAGAGTTTTCTAAATATCTAGAAATTCAATCTCACTCTTGCTATAACAATAAACTTTAAAGATAAAATAATAAGACCCATCAATGACGCTGAACAAAAAAAAAATTCACACATCGCCTTTGGTGCTGTGACAGCTACAAGGCTCCCATTAGTAAAATGAGCATCATTTGGGATACATTCTCTTTTTCTGGTATTGTCTTAGGCATTCAGTAGACATGGAATAAAGGGGAGGCTGGTTGCACAAGTGATGCCAAGAGAAACAAGATTCCACATGTCAGGGGACTGAATGCTCAACACAGAGAGCAAAGGGCACTCATCCCATGGCTTTCTGAACAATGAAATATGACTTTACCTGAAATCCTTTCAAAGGAGTTCTAATGGTCTCCACTTTATCACTCACCCTGAGTGAACCCGACCACGCCTTCTGAGAGAACAGGGGAAGCCTTGCCTAACAAAAATAGCAAGTGCTACATCCAAAGCCAAGAAACACTCGTTTAGTCCAGGGGAGGCACTTCTGCCCCAATTGTCTTCTGCCCCAATTGTCTTCTACTCCAATGCAGTCTTCTACAAGGAGACTCCCAGCTAAAAATACTTGATTCCCAGCCTAAGTCAAGTTCTCCATTTTCCCAAACTTCTACCAACCTTCTTTCTTTCGGATAAGCCCCTCTCCATTCCGACATTCTGGAGGAGAGGGTTCCTTGTCTCCTCACAAAGTTTCCTTCCCCAAGACAATCTCCTTTCCTTCACTTCACTTCCCTAAGGTTTTTGCCAGACGCTGCCCCAGGTCTAGCACTCTCAGTCCTCCATTAGCAGATCTCTTCAGAAAGTCGTATCTCTAACCGTAACCACTTCTCCTCCCTCATAATATTCTTCCCTTTTTCCTATCTGTCCTCGAATGGAGACAAGCGCGCGCGCACGCACGCACACACACTCACACACACTCATACACACCCACACACACACACACACACACACACACACACACACACACAGTTCTCAGCTCCTAATTCCCAGGTCTTTCCCACACACACACGCACGCTGTTCTCAGCTCCTAATTCCCAAGTCTTTCCCGCGCCCGAGGTTCCTCCATAGCACCTAATACTTTCTCGGAGTTTCCCCTCATCCCTGTCTTTCTCAGTCCCTAACTCCACACACCAAGCTTTCTTCTACTCCCCAAATTCAGATTTCCTGTGCTTTTTACTCTTAGCCAACACCACAGCCCTCTTCCTTCCAGGTTTACACCTATGCCTCGATACTCAAGTCTTATCTCCTCTTCCCACGTTGCTCGGGCCCTAATACTCCATCCACATAACTACAAGACACCCCTCCATCTGTCTTCCGCCCCTCCTGACCCCCATGGCCTCCAACTCTCTTCGTTTTCTAGAGCCCTGCTCAGCCCCCAAATATCTCCTATGCCCCTAGGCCTTCCCCACACGCCCTCCCCGCCCCGGGAACAGAGTACCCCTCAGTGCCCGCCCGGCCCGCCCTGTCGCCGGGCTCGGGTGGCCCTCCTCTTCCCTCGGGGCTCCGAGGCCGCTGCCAACGCTGGCGCGGCGGGGCCGGCTCACCAGTTGGTCATGTCCAGGAAGAAGGCGCAGCCGGCCGGGTTGAGCTGGAAGCCAAGCAGCCGCTGGAACTCGGAGATGAGCACGTCCTTGTCGGTGGTGCCTAGACAGCTGAACTTCTGCATCAGCTCGGGGTCCAGGTCCACGTCCATGCCCTCCATGACTGGGGCCGGACACTCGCTTCCCCGCCTCCTCACAACCGA